AAAAAAAAAAAAAAAAATCAAAAGGCTTAGGGATGTAGCTCTGTGGTAAAGCACCTCTGGGTTAAATTCCCAGTACCCCCACCATCCAAAAATCTAGCCTACCTCCTGTATTTATAAATAAGTTTTGTTTTATTAAAACAAGACCATGCCCATCTGTTATATATTGTCCATAGCTGCTTTCCCAAGACAGAAGTAACACTTAATAGTGTTACTTGATTTGACTACCTGGCCCTTTACCAAAAAAAATTTGCCAATCATTATTCTAAACAAAAGCAATTGCTGGTAAATGACAATTTTCTTACACTTCCTTTAGCAACTAGGACTTTCCATAGATAAGCATTTATTTTATATACTAGTAAAAATGACTACAGTTAGGTCAAGCTTTTGCATTAATGCTCAAAACGACTGAAGTCAAGCCAGCAAAGGTGTTTATAATAATTCTCGTTTGCTGCCTAACAATTATTATAAAAGCTGATAGCTTAAAACATTTATTATCTCCCAGGTTTCTCTGTGGGCCAGGGATTTAGAGTTGGTTGGTTAATGTCATTTGAAACTTTAGACTAGAGTTGGAGGATCTACTTCTAAGGGASTTAACTCACATGACTGACAAAAGTTGTGCTGACTGCTGACAGAGACTTCAGCTCCTCTCTACAGGACCTCATACGTGTTCTCTGGCATAGCAGCCAGCCTTCCCCAGAGTGAATATTCCATGAGAAAAGTCAGGTAAATATGATCCCTTTTTATAACTTTGCCTCCAAAGTAGATCACATCACTTCCTCCACATWCCATTACAGAACTGAGTTACTAAGTCAAAGCAACACTGCTGAGGTTTGAGGTTAGGCTCCACTTTTTCAAGGGAGGCCATCAAAAAATCTAAAGGTAGCAACACTACTTCAGGGTTCCAAACATGATTAAAAAGCTTCAGCAACAAAGCAGAGTCTTATCTGATTTTTTTTTAAATCTGTGCTTAATCATTTTCATAATATATATTTTGTTTTACTAATGACAGAAAACAGGGTTTATCACCAATTGTTAACATTCTCCAAAGAAAAAAATTAGCCAACAAAAAAAGCAAAGCACTTCAGCTTTTTCTATCTGACGCAATGATGATGGGAGACAATTATAGTTTGGTTGTATTTCTCGACCCTACCCCCAACCCCTGGCAGAAAGACAAATTATGATGAATAGGACCATGATCATAAGTAACTAAAAAGCTGGACCAGGAAAACAAGTCTTTATGATTCAGAATCATATACAAGATTTTCACAGATATAAACAAAAATAACAAGCAAAGAGAAATTCAGATCTGCATTCAAAAGGGGAGCCGGGCAGTTTGAGGGAGAGAGTATGGATTATACCATGATTTGCATCAGAGATACTTCTAAAACAAGAAATATATGTATATTATTACCTGCAACAATTAAATATATTTTYTAAATGTTTTGGTCAGTAGACACAATGAAGACTTGGCCAAACACATCTGTTACAACTGTGGAATTTCAATATAGGCTATAAGAAGGGCTGGGGAACAGAACTTTTCCATAGAGGAAAATGAAGTAAGAGTCATTTTAATTTCCTCCTCAGAAAGCTCAAAATGTTCCTAAACTGGACATTAAACTGCTAAGGGGCTGGGGATACAGACCGGATACTTGCCTAGAATACAAAAGGGAAGATAAAAAGCACTGCTTTAAAACAAATTCGAATCCTTATACTGGGCTAGAAATTCATATCCACCTAGAACCTGTAAATGTGAACTTATTTAGAATGTGAACTTATTTAGAATGTGAACTTTAAATTAGAGTTTTTGCAGATGGTTATCAAGTTAAGATGAGGTCACACTAGATTAGGATGAAAGCCCTAACTCAATGACTGATGATGCTCTTAGAAGGAAAGGGAAATATGGACACAGAGATACACAAGAAAAACAGTATGGTATATGACAAAAAACAGAGATTGGAGTGCCTTTTCTCCAACTCCTGGTAACCCAAGAAGCAAGAACAGCACAGTGTGGAGGCACATGCCTGAAATCCCAGTGATTGGAGGTTTAGAGAGAAGAATCACCAAGTTCAAGATCACAAGACCCTATCTAAAAAAATAAAAAGGACTAGAAATGTAGCACAGTGGTAAAGTGCCCCTGGGTTCAATTCCCAATCTGCAAAAATATAAAAGAAGCCAGGAGAAAGGCATGGAGTAGATTCTTCCTGAACCCCAAGAAGGAACCAAGCCTGCCAAAACTATAATTTCATATATATTTTTTGGGGGGGGAGGTGGGGGGCAGTGCTGGGAGTTGAACCTAGGGCCTTGTGCATGCAAGGCAAGCACTCTACCAACTGAGCTACATTCCCAGCCCTCATATTTTTTTTTAATATTTTACTTTTATAGTTGGACACAATACCTTTATTTATTTATTTTTATGTGGTGCTGAGGATCGAACCCAGGGCCTCACACGCACAAGGCGAGTGCTCTACCTCTGAGCCATAACCCCAGTCCCTAATTTCATATTTTTTACCTCTACAACTATGGAAGAATAAGTTTCTATTGTTATAAGCCATCAGATTTGTAATAATTTTTATTCTGGCAGCCCTAGGAAACTAATATAGCCACCCCACTCATATTAAGAAATTTTAATAATTTCATTATTTTCAGTATTAGAGATATTTATCTTCAGCCTGAAACTGAAATATTCACCAAATAAGATTTATATATATATATATATATATATATATTAGTTCTAGATAGACATGATACCTTTATTTAATTTATTTATTTTTATGTGGTGCTGGGTATGAAATCCAAGGCTTCACACATGCGAGGCGAGTGCTCTACCACTGAGCCACAACTCCAGCCCCCAAATAAGGTTTTTAGTTCACAAATTCAGAACAACTGGAAATGTCATCTCTATCAAAGATACTCCCCCTTTTGGGTACTGTCACAAGGATGAATTTGACTTAGACTCCAGTGGCCTATGTACTTTGCTATTTAGGGCACCAGAAGTGAAGTCCTCTTAAAGGCCAGTAAAGCACTGTCCATATTAGAGGCTCAATTCACCTTAGCTRATATCCAATGGCCTACAAAACTTACATCTTTGTTGAATTTCTCCTACTAGAACACAGGTCTAACAYAGAACTACAGATTTCAATAAGTTTACCCTCAGTAGGGCACAGTGGTATATGCTTATTATCCTTGCTACTATGAAAACTAAAAGTAGGATATAAAGTTCAAGGGCAGTCAAGACAATTTACTGAGACCCAGTCTCAAAATAAAATAAAAAGAYTGGGGRTGTGGCTAATGGCAGAGCCCTTGCTTAGCATGTGCAAGGTCCTACGTCCAACCCTCTGTACTGCACCCAAAAAAAAAMAAAATTATCTTCCAGATTTAAAGTCTTCTTTTCAAAYTTACAGTGTAACAATGAYAATTTTTCTAACATTAATTACTGGTAAGGTGTGGATTAACTTACCATTKTACCTATTCAATTTTGAGTTGACAAAAACATGATTCATGTAAGCCAAGATTTTTTTTTAAATGAGTTAATATAATTTTTTTATTTGTTCTTTTTAGTTGTACATGACAGTAGAATGTATTCTGACACACATACATGGGGTATAACTTCCCATTCTTGTGGTTGTACATGATGTAGAGTTATACTGGTCATGTATTCAATATGAACATAGGAAAGTTACATCCGATTCATTCTACTGTCTTTCCTATGCCATCTCCCTAACCCTTTGTCTAATCCAATGAATTTATATTCTTCCCTCTGTATATMAGAGAGAACATTTAGCCTTTGGTTTTTTGGAATTGGCTTATTTCACTTAGCATGATAGTTTCCAGTTCCATCCATTTGCCAGCAAATGCCATAATTTTATTTTTCTTTATGCCCAGATATATTTATGTCAAACTCAAACCAGTACAAATATGCATAGATGATTTAACATACTAGTGTGAAAGTACAGGACAATTTCTAGGGTATTTTCAGAGTAATGAATATTATCAAGCTAAATGTTTCACATTATCCCAATATCATTACTATGAATTAAGAARAGGTATCACAAGAAGAAAGATAAAACTTCTGTCACTTTTATACCCTTTAGAATTGTGCAATAACATTTCTGTGACTTAACTAATTCTTGAAACACCCAAGAGAAGTAGATTCAGACTGTCCAAAAAGACATTTCTTTGTAAGCATATCTTCTGATTAAAATATGCGCCTGTACAATTAATTATACAACTCAAATAAATATTATAAGTTACTGAATAATTAAGTAGCAAGCACTGACTACTGACCACAGAAAATTTCCTCCAAAGATGGCTTTTGCAGAACCTGGGGATGTAACCCAGTGGCAGGGTTGTTACCTAGCATATACAAGGTCCTGGATTGCATTCCCAGTGTGTGTGTGGGGCGGCGGGGGGGGGTGGGGGGGATACGACCAATCTTCTAAAAAGGCTTGCCTCTATATAAAAAAAAAAAATATTGACCTACCTTGCTTTCGAACATCTTCTACAGCAGCCACAAGCTCCTCCTTGAGAAACTGACTCTCCTTTGCAATTTTATCCCCCTTCTCCAAGAAATTCTCAGTTGCTTGTTCAACAGATGCAGCCAAAACGTGGGCCTTCTTAG